AGGAATTTACCTAGAGATCTTGTACTTTATGGGAGGAGATGGTATTGGATAATATATATATATATATATATATATATATATATATATACTATAAATATATATACATATTTGAAATATATATATATATTCTACAAAATATACATTCTACAATAGTGTATACACACTTTAGGAAAATAAAAATTTGCATACATATTTTAATATTAAATTTATTGAGATATCATGAACTTAATACACAATACCTCTGGCCTTTACAGTTGAAAGAAATATGCAACTTGGTGACCACTAAACTTCCAGATGTCTAGTAGTACAGAAGACTGCTGCCTGGGTAACTTTGGTCATTGGGATTGCTGCACATGTATTTTCTATTTCTTCTCTAAGGGCTGGCAGCATAGTGGTTTTCTGCAACACATGACATCCTCAGTCATATGCCCAGGACCCTGTTCAAGGGTATATTTACCTAATATGAGAGTAGCACCATCTGCTGAAAAAAGTTATACTGTTTTTCTTTATTTGAAATGTGTATGCATATTTTGGCAATCTATATATCATGTCTGTATCTCTCATTTCTCTCTCTGTTTCTCTCATCTCTGTCTCTAGCTTTCTTTGTGTGTCTCTGTTTCTTTCTCTGCCTCTATCCCTATCTATCTTTCCAGAGTTTTCTATATATTAAGGAAAATGAAAGACATATAATAAAATTACACATATGAATACAATTATATATGTACAATTATGCAATAAAGAGGTGGGGCTCTACATTAGAGAGGATATAAAATGCATCCAGGTGCAAGGATAGGATGGAGAGAAGGTGAATTCAGAGCAAAGCTTCCCAGTAGGAAGCCACCTGGTAGCAGGAGAAATGAACTGGAACCAGAGAGAAGTCAGACTAGCACCCCAGGTGTAGTACTTCTCCAACACATCTGCATCATCAAATTAGTATTTCTTTCAAAATTTCCACCAAGATTAAAGTCTTAATTCCTATATTATTTTCATTAGTTCAAAGATTTGGTTCATTTCTGTCTTCTAAAATCACCCAGGATCCTGATTTTAGAAAACATGACTGCAAGCACATTTCTAAAACCATATCAAATTTATTTATTTATTTATTTATTTATTTATTTATTTTTAGGGAAGGATCTATAGGGTGTTCAGGGTCTCACTACTGGATCAGACTCATAGTGATCCACCTGTGTACAGTGTCCCAAGAGCTGGGATTACAGGCATGCACCCAGTCCCCATTGCGGTCTCAGGTTGCTCCTGGGGGTAGGACCAGCACGGCAGGCCTGGGGATTGAACCCCCAGCCCCTGCACCTTCTTTGTCCAGCCCCTGTATCAGATTTGTGAAAGCCAACAATAGATAGAAAAACCAAGGATGACTGTTTGTAAATCATGAAAAAAAAACCTAATCCATGTAAGAGCACACTAGATGAGAATTCATTCATCATATTTTTAAGGATGTAGGAGTTCATTTCTCTATCTTATCAAGGTCTTTAGAGTCAAATTTTACTTTTATTTGTTTTGTTTGTTTTTTATATCATAAGTGTTTATTTGAGAAAACAAGAATACAAAACTAAGGTATTATTATTTTCTAAAAATAAGAATTTACAAAAATAGCACTTTTTATTCATACTTCAAAGGGAAGAAATGATCAAGGTATCCTTAGAAATCAATGAAATGATGTACAACAACCATAGTTAAAACTAAAATGAATCAACACCTGAAAACCAGCTCAAAGAAAGTGCTAGACAGATTAATACAAAAGACATCAGGTTACGGAAATGAGGACAGAAAAGGGAGTGGGGGAAAGAGATATAGCTATGTAGACCATGACCTATGAATCTTTTGGAATGAGGAAAACAAAACACCATGAAAATAAGAGTTGTTTTAGTTGAAGAAACTGTCATTGGATGGTTTTGGAATGGAATAAATTCCCCTGGAATAAATCTATAATGACTTCCACCTTCTACAACTTGTGAAACAGAAAGATAGCAAAAGAAATCACCCAATTAGATGACTATAACAATGGAAGGTGTCACAGCACAAAACTGTGATACAATTTTGAAAACTTTTTACGTATTTGAATCTTTTTCTATTACATTTCTTGTTTTATTAATTAGTCATATAATGAGGATATTTCCCACTACAAGTCTTCCATTCTGCTCCCAGTTATTATAAGACACTAATAGAATTGCATCCTGTTTTCATGATATTGTTATGAAATGCCTTTGTATTGAACCAGTTCCAAAAAGGAAAGAAGAAAAAAACCCTGAAATGTCAGAATTCTAAGATGGCCCTAGTGATGCCATTTCATTTTAAGAAAGAAGTCCCTTCTCTGAAGAGCGACAGAACCAGTGAGCATGATCTGCTGTCTCTTCAACGAACATTTAATTAGCACTAAAAATAGCAACTATGTCATATTGATCACAATTACTTCTTTATGTAATTTATTTTTATATGTTTCTGTTTAGTTATTATTTTGTGTATTTTATAATTTTCAACATGATTTGATCTTTCATAAAAGTTATCTTATAGCATTGACGGCATTATTTCCATCATCTACAGTTTTATATAAAACTGTCTATACTGGTAAAAATGTTTGCCCTTGCATCCCATGGATTAAAAGCATTGTGTCATTCTGAACATTGTAGTTATTTTTTCCCTCCCAATGAAAATTGTTTCATCTGGATGGTATTTAAAACATGTCAATTAGCATTAAAATATATTGCAGAGAATTTCATTTAGTTAGTTGTAAATATCACCAATTTGTCATGGTCTCTTCACTAAAAGGCTCAAGGCAAATTTTTGTAATAGATTAGAAGAGTTATGGGAAGAGATTATGCATTGACTAATCCAGCAAACTATAAAACTATTCATATTTCCTTGGAGTAACTTTATTTTCAAGAAGACAGAGAGAGCAATATATCTAGTTTTACGGAGACACTGAACCTAAACTTGACTTTCATTGTCTGCAAAGGTTGGTCTTATTTTTTTTCCCTGCAATATATATTATTCTGTCTGTGGGCAATTTAGAATCATTGTTGATATATCTTATCTGGTTGTTTGTTATATTATATGCTGTTCAATAATTATAAGTAAAAAATGGAGAAATTTAGAAAATTGAGATTATTCACTCACTTCTATCCACAAGTATTGGATGTCAGAGTATTTCTTTTCTTCTAAAATTTTTTTATTAGTATATGTTTGTAGTACATCTCATTTGTAACCATCTTGGGGAGTGAGTATAGGTAATACAATACAACTTCGTTCTTTGTTTTAAAAAAATAACCTTTCTCTTCCCTCCTGCCTCCCTCCTGCCCCCCTCCTCCTTTAAATATCCTTTCTCCATTTTTGTTCTTGTTCATATTAATTTTGCCTCATGTTATGACATATAATTTTTACATTCATTGATGTTATTAGGTGCCCATGCAATGTGTATCTTCATTCTACTTCTTTTCCTTTCCCTCGCATTCATTTCTCACCCATATTCTCCTGAACCCCTTTCCATTTGCAAGAGATTTACCCCTTTTTGCCTTCTATCCATCTTTTATTGTACTTTCTGCTTATACTTTGCCTTACTCAAAAGAGAGTTACTAAATGTTTAAGCTTATGTGTCTGATTCATTTCACTCAACATTATATTTTCCAGGTACATCAATTTTCCAACAAGTGTCTCAAATTTGTCTTTCTTTACAGATGAGTACTCTTCTATTATGTATAGACACCATATTTTCTTTATCTAATTTCCTGTTGATAGGTGTACAGGCCACTTGCAAGATTTAGCTGTTATTAATTGCCTTATACATATCACCATAGTATGATGCCTTTAGCTCTAAAAAGGGTATTACTGTCATGGAAATTACATTTTTGACAAATGATTTGCATCAAGTACAGGCATAGGTCTACACAGTCACTGCAAGTGGCTCAGCAAGGTTGAAGCTACCTTGGGGTGCATCTTAACCGTAACAGTCACTAGGTCAGGTCTTTATCTGCACCTCCTCCCCCTCCTGTGGATTGAGCTCCTGAGGTCAAAATTGTGTCATATTATTCTCTGAGGCTTCAGCAACAAGCAAAGTGCATGGTTCATGATTGGGAATCCAGGTTTCTTGAACAAATAAAGGGGGAAAATAAGCTAGTAAACCCACAGTCTAAGTCTTAGATACACTAAGTGCTGAAATTTCATAATAATTCTAAAAATGCTATTTGTAAGCATTTCCCAGTCACTTCAGTTAGCTTTTATTATTTCACTAAGAGAGAAAAAGATCATTATATGAAATGTATTTTCCTTTTATAGGCATTTGTGGAGTGTAATGAACAAGTTATGGTAACTAGTTTCATGGCTCTTGAGTTCTCTTCCTATAAAATGGCTTCCACCCACTAAGCCACTGAAACGCCTCTGTCTGAAATCACAAATTACCTCAACCTGCACACAGAGCACCTATTTCAGTATTTGTCTTACTGAACTCAACTTATGACTTCATTTATAGTGCATCTGCTTTTTAGAATGTCAACACACACACACACACACACACACACACACACACACACACACCATCACCGCCACCGCCACCGCCACTGCCACTGCCACTGCCACTGCCACTGCCACCACCACCACCACCACTCTTCTGGGTCTCATACCTACGTAACTCCAATTCATTCACCATTAAGCTTTCACACCTGGGACACTGCCTCCTCCAGGCAGGTACTTCTCCCCTGCCCTTAGTCTCTTGCTATAATATAATGTTGTCATTGAATTTACCTTGTAATCTGGAATGTAGTAGTTATATTTTTATGCCTGACTACAAAAGAATCAAGAATGATTGGGTTTTGTGCATTTTAGCATCTCTTATATGTATCAGAGTCTTTGATAGGTAATCAATATATTGGTATTCTCATTGCAAACAAAGCAATAAAAATTTAGGACATCAAACTGCTTGTTCTTGTGACAAAGTAATTTTTGTTGCATGAAATAATAGAATTATTAGTTTCTACCAACCATCCAGGCATCATGACCAAAAAACAGATTGCTGTGATTGGAGCTGGAATTAGTGGACTGGGTGCCATCAAGTGCTGCTTAGATGAAGAATTGGAGCCCATCTGCTTTGAAAGAAGTAATGATATTGGAGGACTGTGGAGATTTCAAGTAAGTTTGGGTTTTATTTGATTTTAAGCTTGCCATTTCTTGAACTAGTTGTAACAAGTTGGATAAAAGTTTCCTTGATGCAACATAGAGCTCATCATGTCTTAAGAATCATTTAATGACCCTAATCTTCTTGCTTATGTTAGTGATTGAGCAAATATGCCCATTTCAATCAGTCATGAAATTTATGAGTCTACTCAAGGTGCCAGAAATTGCTTATGATCCTCAGAATTATCAGAAAGGGATGGTGTTTGAAGAATATCTCAGCTGCTCTGATGATTTTGTGTACAAGGTTGAAGAGGTCACAGACTTTGGCAGTAGGGCAGGCTGTCCATTGCTGGGCTTCTATCACACAATTTGATATTCTTTTTGTGTTCATTCTGTATGTCATCCTTTCTTGTCTACCACAGGGCAATGATCCCTCCCCCTAGCTCTTGCTTGCAAGAGACATTTTGCTGTAAAGATTTTGAGGTCGATGCTAAACGTCACATAGGTTCAAGCTCCTCATGCTCCCTTCCAGTGCTTTGTTCTGCTGTATTTGGAAGTACTCTTGAAATCCAGGATTTCTGATCAATATTTTCCAGTTCTGATAATCATAGAGAACCACTCTTCCCACCATCTGTGTTTGGCACTCTACAGATGTTCACTTATAGGCCAATCTGTTGATCCTGGCTCTTGTCTTGACCCAAGACGTGCCCACCGCAAGAATATGAGACCTCTTCATACTACGGAGTTTGGTCTTGCTGGCAGAAAATTGATATAACTGTCCTATAGGGACATACATCTCTGGAGTCAACTAGTGCCCAAGGAATGCTCCTAATTGCCCTCAGACCCTCTAATACAGTGATATTATCACTCAAGCATCTCTCTGCAATCTACTGGTTTTCTATGTACTGTTTTGATACTTCATTCTAAATATTCTTTTTGCTTCTTTAATTCAAGAGTTCTTTCACTTATTCAACAAATATTTTTGAGTACTCACTATATGAAAGGCATTTTTAGATACAAGGGAATAATTAATAAATTTGAATACAAAAATTTTAGCCCTTAGTGAAATAACTCAAACACACAAGCTTAAAAATCATGATTTCTCTTATATGAAAAACTTCACACACACGCACATGTACACACACATGAAGCATGTATCTATATAATGCTTCATATATAATGTGTCATACATATTATGAAATAAAATTTAAATAATAGGGGAAAAGTATATAGAAATCTCTGGTATAGGCAAAGACTTTACGGATAAAACCCAGATTGTACAAGAACTATCACAAAGAAGCAACAACTGGTATCTCATCTTATTAAAAAGCTATTACACAGCAAGAGAAACCACCAACAGAGTGAAGAGACCTATAATGTGATCAAAAATATTTGCAAGATGTTCCTCACACAAAAATATTACTATTGGGACCATGTAAAGAACTGAAATAATTGGACCTCCGAAACTTAAAGACCCAGGCAGAAAATGGGCATCTGAGATGAATATACATTTCTCAGATGAAGAAATACAAACAGCAAATAAATATATGAAAAAAATGTTCAATATAACTCATCATTCAAGAGATTCAAATTAAAACAACACTGCACTTGCATCTCACTCCAGAAAGAATGACTATCATCAAGAAATCAACCAAAAATAAATGCTGGTGGGGAAAAAAGAGCCCTTCTCTGCTGTGGGTGGAAGTGCAGGCTGGGGCAAACACTGTGGAAAACAGTGTGGAGATTCCTCAATAAACTAGGATTGAAGGTCTCATTCAACCTAAAAAAATCTACTGGAAGATAATTTAGAATTACACTGATCTGTGGATAAACTTCACAAAAATTAAAATCTTAATACAGAGTGATCTTAGATTATGTGAAACTACATACTCACAGTTTGTCACTTAGTTTTTAGTGTAGAAGTTTTGTATATCTTTCATTAAATGTTCCTAGATACTCGATGTTTTTATGCTATAATAACTGGTGGCCATCACAAAAGTTTCATTTTTAATTTGTACTAGTGTATGAAACAATTATTTAAATGTTATCCTTGTATCCAGACATCTTGCTAAGTTAGCTAATGTTTTATAAGTAAATTTATTTTTATTTGTTATGTTGTTATGTACATGACCAAGAATTCTTAATGATGTGTCCTTTTTCCCCAATATTTGTACTTTTGCATTTTTATTTTTCTCCTTTTTGCATTAGCCAAGGCCTCTAGAATAATGTTAAGAAAAAATATAGAATAATGCTAAATAAAAGTAATGGTAGAAGATAATTCTTCTACCTTCCCTCAAAAGTATAGAATGATTGTTCTCCTTCCCTGTCTCAGGGAGAAAAAGATCAATATTTTAGTGGTGAATATAATAATGTCAATGATTTTTATAGATTAAAAGAAGTTATCATCTCTATGTAGAATTTCTTTAAGCTCAGGGACATGGTTTATTTTATCAAATAATTATGTTACAATTATTTTCAACATTACCGAATCTTGTCAGATGCTTTTTCTGTTTATTCTGTTCATTCAATGTATATCTCACTGACTAATAAGCAAAGTTTTGTTCCTAGAGAAATTCCTATGTGTTCTATTTTAAATATTTTACTGTTTGCTAGGTTAGATCCACATTTTTGCTGGTATTTCCATAATGCTAATAGGTTCAATTTACTAATATCATTGTATATGTTTATTGCCTCATTGTAGTTTAAGTTTTTCCTTATATGATATCTATGTGAGATTTTTCTAACTTAAGATTATGAAATGAATTGAAAGGTATCTCTTGCTTTTCTAGTTCCTTAAAGAATTCATGTAAGATTACATTCTTTTTTCAAATGTTCAGAAGAATCCATCTGTGAAGTTGTCTGAAGAATTCATCTGCGAAGTCTCTTTGTAAAATTCTTAATGACAAGTTCAACAGGCATAGTTTTTAAAAAATTTAACTGGCATGGATATGGGGCTTTTAAATTTTTCTTTTTTTCCTGTCAAAATGGTTATGTATTCTTTTGCAAGGAATTTGCCTTTGTCCAAATTGACAGTTTATGGGAATTGTTTATAATATCGTCAATTAGTCTTTTTATTATCTATGATCCTATAATGATGTTCTCATTTTGTTCCTGATATTGATAATTTATACCTCCTCTTTCTTCTTCTTCTCCTTCTTCTCTCCTCATTCTCCCCTCCTTCCTTCTTCTCATTTTCCTCTCCTCCTCCTTCTTGTCAGTTTTGCCAGGGGTTTATCGACACTATGAACTGTCTCAAAATCAAAGTTGGTGCATCTTTCATGTCATGCATTTTTTATTTCGTTATTTTGTTTGTATTCATTATTTGCTCATGTTGGCTAATTTTTAAATAATTGGGGTATTTTGGGGTATATACATCTTATTGATTTCAAATTTAATTCTACTCTTATTGGGAAAAAAATTCTCTGATTTTAGTCTTTTGGAATTTGCTTAGACTTTTTAACAGGACCCCATAATACCTACACTGAAAATACACCTCAAATAACGCAATCTAGACTTGCAGCATGCTTTACCTATATACATCCACTAGGCTCAGTTGTTTGAGTTCTTTAATATTCTGGGTCCTTACCAGCTTTCGTTCTATTGTCCTATCAGTTACATACTTGGGTGAGTTAAATTCTTCAGGTAAGAATTTGACTATTTCTCCTTTTAATTCTGATCATTTTTATTTAATATTTTGAAACTATGCTACTAGCTATCTTTCAATTTAAGATTTTTATCTTTCTGTAGGATTGATCTTTATATTATAATCTTTCCCTCATTATCTCTAATTTTTCTGTAATACCTACCTTGTTTGCTAGTAACAGAATAACTACACTTGCCTTTTGATTGATGTTTTCACGTTATATCTAACTTTGTCTCTTATAACTAGCATAAAAATAGTGTTTGCTTAGAATTTCATGGGTTTTTTTGGCTTGTTTGAAATAATAACTAAAGTGCTTACATGTAATGTTATATAAATATATAAAGCTTTAATGTATGATCTTTTATATTTTTTCATCTTTATTATTTCCATTCCTTATTTCCTTTCATTTAGATTCACTTCTGTATATTTTACTTTTCTCTTTTTCTTGTATGTTGCATAACCAGATCACATTCTCAGACTATTATTAATAGTCACCCTTAAAATTTCAAAGTAATCCTGACATTATTGCTTTTTACTTCATGTTTGTATTTTTACCACTTTCTGAACGAATCAGAGCTGTCACAATTTACCTCCATTTTTCCATTACAATGTTTGTGTTATGTGATTGAATTCTCAAATACATTATAAACCCACAAAATATTCTTATTATTATCATTATTATCTTATGTTTTCCTTTTGGTTTTTATATTTATGCATTAGGTTGCTACAGGGTCTCACTACACAGCTCAGACTCATTGCAATCCTCCTGTTTTCAGCCTCCCCAACACTGGGATTACAGGCATGCACCACCATGCCTGGACTCTGTGGCCAGCTCAGCCCACCCTGGGGGCAAGGGTGGCATAGCACATGGTGCCAGGGATCGAACCGCGGTCCCTGAGCTTGCCTAAGCTTGCCCAAGCAGGCGCTTTAGTCCACTGAACTATCTTGCCAGCCTCTGTTATCAATTTTATTTAAACTGTCAATATTTTGGCAGTGATCAATTTTTGTTCCTTCTTATATTTACATGTCTGAAGATGTGTTTCACTTCCACCTTTGAGGGATATTTTTATTTGGCATAGATACCCAAATGAATATTTTTATTTTACCATTTTAAAGACATTAAACACTTGCTTCTGACTTCCCTCCTTCTTTTTTTAATTTTAACCAAAGATCGAACTCAGGACCTTATATTTGTCAGTCAGACACTTAAGCCTCTGAGCTATTTCTCAGGCCCCTGGGCTACTTCCCTGATCTCTCTCCCTCTTATTTAGAAGATAAATGAGTCTCATTGTTAAGTCCATGTAACTATTTTCTCTAACAGGTGGAGAAAATAAAAGTCAATGTACTGTTTACTTATAACAGACCTCACTTTTCTCCCTAAAATATTTTATTTTGATTTTTTTGTAATTATAAATTTTATTACATTAAGAGAGATTTTTCCCCTGCAGAAAAATTCCTCAGAGAAAATGCCCAGTATTTACAAATCTGTGACCATCAATACTTCCAAGGAGATGATGTGCTTCAGTGATTTTCCCATTCCAGATCATTTTCCTAACTACATGCACAACTCCAAACTCATGGAGTACCTTCGGATGTATGCCAAGCACTTTGACCTCCTGAAATATATTCACTTTAAGGTAAAATAGAAGTGAAATATTGCATAGAAAGTGTGTGTGTGTGTGTGTGTGTGTGTGTGTGTGTGTGTGTACTATAATCAGAGGAAAAAGTCATTGGTGAGATTTCACCCTAGAAACTCAGGACTTATAATGAAATAACATTTTGAAGATTTCACTTGGATGTGAAATTGGAGACATTTGCTCATCAGAATCTAGTTTGACAGTGTTTCAGTGTGGCATGGCAAGGGTCCATTCTTAAGGCCTTATAATCAAAATGTTTAAGAACTTTTAAAAATGGCAGTAGTAATTGAGCCAGGGGATACAGCTGGTGGAACAGAATCCAAGCTTATATAAGCAACTGGAAGAAGGTGATTTTGGATCCACTCAATCTCCACAGTCTATTTACCTCTACCACCCATAATGCACAGATGTAAAATCCATGTCTATATTGAGGATAGAATATTCATTCTTCTCTGAAAGGCAAAAACCAACCCTACAGAAAATGGACAGACCTGTGCCCAGATATGAAAAACATAAGTAATGCTGTTTTTCATACTCAAGTCTCCCTGCATTGAGAATTTCATTGCTATAGCTTAAGTCACGCCTCTGACATTTCATAATTCTCAACTGCTCCCATTTGTAGGACAATTAGATTTTCAATGAAATGCTCATAATACCTTGATAATGCTTCCCACAGAAACATCACTATTGGGTGGGTACCAGGGAGCCAGAACCACAGTACTGCGAATTGATCAAATCATTCCTTCTATTTAGATTTATGGGGTCTTGGAAGGTAAGAAGTGAACCAGAGGATTTCAGGAGTGAGTCACTTATCTTTGTGCCCTGCCTTGCAGACAAAAGTACAAAGTGTGAGGAAGCGTGCAGATTTCTCCATCAGTGGACAATGGGATGTTGTTGTGGAGACTGAGGGGAAACAAGAGGCCTTCGTCTTTGATGGGATCTTGGTCTGCAGTGGGCACCACACAGACCCCTATTTACCACTTAGATCCTTCCCAGGTATGTTACTAAAAGTCTATTGTGTAGAAAATTACTTTCCAGGTAACTTGCAGAGCAAAATAATTGATCATAAATCTTCTCAAATCTCAGTAACACTCTACAACAAAAACTATTTAACATTTATGTTAACAGAACAACATAATGCACAGCAGTACTGAAACAGGCAATTATGAAAATTTCATCTGTCTTACAGTGTATAACATATAACAAAAATTAGTCCACATTCAAACAACCTTAATTTTGTACAAATTCGTCTGATCTCACTTCCTTCCAGAAAAAGTAAATTAATAAATAAAAGACAAATGATAAGCAAAACAAGCTAAGTAGGTGGCAAACCCACAAACTTAGAAATCTTAGACCAAGGGAAAAGATCTCTACTAATGCTTATTTATCATGAACTTTCATTGGTTTATAAAACCAAACTAGCTGGTCATTGCTCCCTGAGGTGGCATCCACCTCAGAGGTGATTGCGTTAGTCCCCACCCACAGGCTCACCTAAACCCTTTCCTCTTGTACTTATTCCATGACCTTCTGTTTCCACCAATCCTGTCAGGAGTCAGTTAGGAAATACTTGAAATCTCAGTGCCTTTCCATGATGCCTACCTATCAGGTTATCACGAGAAACTCTGAGTAGTGAACTCTACACAATAATTAGAAGAGTACTGGATAGAAATCAAGGGCTTTAAGTTTGAATTTTGGTTGTCCAACTGACTAATTGAATTATGGGTAACTAATGCCTAACCTTTCTGTGTCTACACAACAATACAAACACATGTGATTTGGAAGGGCTGGACCTTCTGAATGCTAAAATGCAATATGCTCTGGAAATCATGTATAATTAAGGTATAACCTATAGATTACATAATGAACTGTTGCATATTGATCTGCTTCTTCTTTACTTGCTTTTTGGCTGAGAGACCCTGTCATGTGCTTGTGTGTATCTGGAGAGCTTTACAGGGAGAGTAACATAAACACATTCAAAGTGGTACAAGGTCTGGGAATGCCAGACACTGACTGGGGACATCAGGCACTTTGAAGTCAGAGGAAATGTCAAAATAAAGAAGAGCTCCACATAGAGAACATTTAAATCAGTGCTTTCCTGCTTCATGATTTTGATTCAGACTGTGCAGCATAATGTAATGATAGAAAAAAAAATAGTCATTGTTATAAAACTTCCACTTTGGATAGATTCAAGACTATCTGCTACCTAACAAATAATGTATACGGTAAATGGTCTATATTTAGAATCCATAGACACCAATTCTCCATTTATTCCCCTTTCCCCAAGATCTGTGAAACATAAAATAACGTTTTGAGGGCAAAGTGTGATACCAAGTGCCTGAGATGCCACATCTTGCCTTGCAGATCATTCAGAATACAACTTTCTTCTGTGTGCTGATTATTCAGTAAAACTTCTCCTTCTAATGAGAAATTATTTTCTATCTCAACAGGCATTGAGAAGTTTGAAGGATGTTATTTCCACAGTCGAGATTACAAAAGTCCAGAGGACTTTGTAGGGAAAAGAATCATAGTGGTCGGCATTGGGAACTCTGGAGTGGACATTGCGGTAGAGCTCAGCCGGGTGGCCGAACAGGTCTGTTTACTTTCAACAATCTCACCAGTGCAAACCTATGCATCGTGTATGACACATGGAATTTGGATTTGATTGTGAACAGCCAAAGAAGACAGAGAAATCTATAGGAAATTATGGTCTCAGGCATTTAAATTAAGCTGATAAGAAGAAACACAAAGTCAATTTCTCATATTCATGATGTACATGTAAAGGAATTTCTATTAATTGAGCTAAGTGAGTAAAATGCTAGTTTGAGATTCCTCAGAAAATCAAATACAGACTCTAAGAAATGCGATATTACTTCTATTGGACTTAAAGCTATTAGATTTCCCTTCTAGATGTCTTCCCAGAAGAGTTAAAAACCTCATATTACAGCGATATATGTATACCTGTATTTATAGCAGCATAATTTATAACTGAATCCTGAAAGCAGCTTACACAACCATCAGCAGATGAATGGATAAAGAAAGTGTGATATTCATACATAGTGGAGGCTGCTATAAAGAAGGATAAATTTCATTTTTAGGAAAATGGACGCATTTTGAGAAAATGATGTTAACTGAAATGAATCAGACATAACAAGCTTAAGTGTCCCATGGTTTCTCTTATATGAGAATCCCAAAGCATAAACAAATGAAAGAGCAAAATTAAAGGTAGATAATGGAAAGCAGAAAAACAGGTATTTTGCAAATGGAAAGAGTATGAAGAGATTTGGGGGAATGAAAAAAATAAGATGTGTTCTGAACAGGTACCAACTCTCCATAATGAATGTAATCATTATGTTCTGAAAATAGAAATAGAAAAGCTGGCATAGATGATGGAAAGTATTAGATAATTAATGACTTTTTTTCACCACCACAACAGCACATTTATTCTGAACTAGACTTCAAATAGCCACAAAGCTATATTGAGGTCTGTGAATATTTTTAAAACACTACTTCAAAGACATACAGAAAAATGAGTGAAATTTTCTGGTTTCCATTCATGAATTCGGTGTCATACAGGGAGTCTTTCTCTGGAGATAAGTGGACTCCACAAAACACAGCCTGTGACACAGCATCTTACCTCTGACTCTCAGTAGCAAAAACTCTTAAAAATGTGTAATGAGAAATGTGTGCATAAAAGAACATCACCTAAAAGGCTCTTTTCTCCCTGTTTTGCTCTGTCTCCCTCAGGTATTCCTCAGCACTAGACGAGGAGCATGGATCTTGCACCGTGTTTGGGAGAATGGATACCCCATGGATAGTTCATTTTTCACACGGTTCAATTCTTTTCTCCAGAAAGTATTAACAACAGCTGTAATCAATAACTACCTAGAAAAGACAGTGAACTCAAGATTCAACCACGCACACTATGGGCTGCAGCCACAGCACAGGTGATGACCACATGACTCGTGTGTAGCTGTGAACAAGACTATGAGGGGGTTCACCTTAGAAACAACTGAACTTCTAGTAGTCCACATGCATTTTGGTCAGTGACTCTCACCATTCACAAACACCAAACACTAATAATGCACACACTGTGCATTACAGAACATAGATGTGAGCTTGCTTCTTGATGCCACCTACACATCACTCATTCAGCCATCACTTAAATTTTGTGATGTTCTGACAACAAAAATAAGCAATACACTGCTGTCCACTTCAAGCAGGCTTTCAGTCTAGAAGAAAGACAATGAAAAGCATGGAAACAGGTCAGAACAGGGCAAGGTGACAGGGGCTATGACAGATGCCAGGGTGGGGTACACTGTGGCCTGAGAAGGATATCCTCGGTTCAGCTGAGTTTGGGCAGAAACGTCAGAGTCCCTAGAGAAGAGAACACAGCTGAGGGCTGCTCCTCTGTGACTTCAGCTTTGTCCCAGGGAAGTTTCTTAGTTCAGAAAACTTCTGCAGCTTTTGGCACAAAAAGCAAAAGAGGGATCGGTGGGAAACAGAGTTGAGAAAAGATTAAACACAGAATGAAGAAATAATATTTAAATTAATAAAGGCCCCAGGAGTCATCTGTGAGGAACCTAATCCCCAAAGCCATATGTTAATAACTTTGGAGGTGGAGCATGTAATTAGCATTAGATGGCATTTTGAGGTGTGCCATCCATGCTGGGTTAGTGGATTCATAAGAAGTGGAAACGCAACCTATCTCCATCCCTCATAGCCATTCCAGGACCCTATGCCATTCCAGGACACCAGAATGTCCTCATTGATCAAAAGCCTTCTCAACTGTGGCTTCCCCACCTCAGACCTCCTGAACAAAGAGCTGGATACATAAACCTTTATTGCTTTATAAACCACACACTCTGAGATATTGTTACAGCAGTAGGGCACAGACTGGGATAAAAAAAAATGTTATTTTTTTCTTGTATGGATAAAAAATGCTCCACATCGCTAGCCATTCATGAAATGCAAATTAAAACCACATGGAGATATCATCTCACCCCAGAAAGAATGGCTATCATAAAGAAATCACCCAACAACAAATGTTGGAGAGGCTGTGGGGAAAAAGGAACCCTTCTCCACTGCTGCTGGAATGGAGACTGGTGCAACCATTATGGAAATCAGTATGGAGACTCCTTAGAAAAGTTGGTCTGGAAATCCCTTTTAAATCAGCTATTCCTCTACTGGGAATTTTCCCAGAGGATCTGAAAACATCATATCATAGGGATATATGTGTGCTTATGTTTATAGCAGCACAATTTGTGATAGCCAAATCTTGGAAACAACCAAGATGCCCATCCCCTGAGGAATGGTTGAGAAAGATGTGGTATTTTTACACAATGGAGTATTATTCAGCTATTAAGAATGATAAACTGCAAGCCTTTATATTGAAGTGGATGCCACTTGAACATATACTCATAAGTGAAATAAACCAGACACACATGTGTAAATATCGTATAGTCTCCCTAGTATAAGAACTCTAAATCAACTTTGAAAAGAGAAATGCCTCAAATGTGAATGAGACCAAATGATGGGGCATTAACTGAGTGACCCACTAAAAGTGTTTAATAAGCTTTTTCTGTGCTATGCGTGTACAACATTTTTGTGTTCAGTGGAGAAGGATAAATAATAAGATGTTACAGAATCATGTAAATGCTGAGGGACATGAATGAAATGCATGATACAGAGCATCTGGAGGCAGAAGGCAGCTGCCTAACCTGGTAGCATGGACAACAAGACCATTTTCTATTAGTGAGGCTGAAAATAAGATTTAAAGAGCAAGAGGGAGCCCACAGTGAAGAGGCAGAAGGAAAAGGTACAAGTGGCAAATGGCACAATATGCAAATGCACAACTTTGAGCTAGGAAGGGAATCAATGTGATCAGAAAAAAATCAGTGAAGCGGGAAGAGAGTGAGGGGACTACAGAAGCCTAATTGCGTGCTCTTGGACCTTGAGACCCAGGTTTATCTAGCTGTCTTTTTTTGGGCTATTGTATAGGCTTAGAGTATGCTGTATGCTTTGATATCTATCTATCCATCCATCTATCCATCATCTATCTATCTATCTATCTATCTATCTATCTATCTATCTATCTACCTACCTACCTACCTACCTACCTACCTACCTACTTACCTACCTGTGTTTTTTGTTTTTTTTGAGGGGGGGTGTTTTGGGTTTTTTGTATTTTAGGGAAGGGTCTCCAGGGTGTTCAGGGTCTCACTACTAAATCAGACTCGTAGTGATCTGCCTGTTTACAGCCTCCCAAGGGCTGGGATTACAGGCTCGTGTCACCATGCCCAGTCTCAATTGCATTCTCCGCGTGCCCTGGGGATGGGACCAACAAGGCACTGGGGGCGGGGCCGGCACTGGCATAAATGGTTTTACAATCAGGCAAATGAACATTTTCACCATCCCATAGTAACCCATATTGTGTATCTGGAACAAAAGCATATGGAAATTATTTTTTTGGTTGTGAAAATCCCTCATACACTGCAGTACAATGTAATGCAATATAGTATTATTAGCTATGGTATTCATGTGGATGTTAGACCTCAACACATTTTCATTCTACATATCTGTAACTTTGTATTCTTTGATCCAAATCTATTTTCTTTCTTATTCCTCAATCCCTGCTAACAACTGTTTTATTTTCTATCTCTGTGTATGCAACATTTTTTAAAAAAATATTCCACATATAGGTGGGATAATTCAGCATTTTTCTTCTCATTTTTATGTATTTGGTACAGGGTCTACAGGATCTACAGGGTCTCACTTCATAGATCAGACTCAGTTATTCTATTTTTAGCCTCCTAAGCACCGGAATTACAGGCGTGTGCCACCACGCCCAGTCTCAAACTTGTCTCAGCGTGACCCAGGGGCAGGCCCAGCACAGCATACCGGGGATTGAACTCCAGCCTCTGCACTCTGCCTAAGCAGGCACTTTAGTGACTCCCTACTTTTCTTTCTGTGTCTAGCTCACTTTATTATCCTCCAACTCATCCATGTTTCGGGAAATGACAAGGTCTTCTTTATTAAGATAGATAGATAGATAGATAGATAGATAGATAGATAGATAGACAGACAGACAGACAGACAGACAGACAGAGATAGAGATACATATTTGTTGGTGGATAGGATACTAGAGTCTTTTCTAAATTTTATCTAGTGTGAATAATGCTTCACTGAGAACAGCAATGACCTTTCTCATGACCTTTTCAAGGTCATGATTTCATTTCTTTTGGGTAAGTACTTAGAAAAAGGATTCCTAGGTCATATGGTAATTGCATTTCTACTTCCTTAAGAAATCTCCATACACTTTTCCAAAGTGTCTATATCAAGCCACAATTTTCACTAGCAAAGCACATGAACAACTTTCTCTGTGATCTTGGTACTGCTTGTTATCTCCTGCCTATTCAATAATAGCCACCCTAACAGGAATGCTGTAATATTTTACAGAATCTGGGGTTGCATTAGTGATGTTGGGCACTCTTCACACAGAACTGAGGGTAATAAATTATTGAGAATTTTAAGCATGAGAAGATCATGGTGTGATGAACAGTTTTGAAGGAGCCTACAGGTTTCTATGTGGAAAGTGGAAAGCTTGACGATCAGAGATTGGACTCAAAGCAGGTAGTGGCCTGGAAGACTGATTGTATTGTCTTGGATTAGATGACAGGAGTAAAGTCAAGGGATAGATTCAGGCTGGGCTTTGAGAATGAAACTTACAATTCTTTGCTAATGGATTGAATATGAAAGGAAAATGAAAGAAATAAAGGAATCAGGAATTCTCAGAAGTTTTACTTGAATTAATGGATTGATAGTCATTTGCTGTGGTGGAGATGAGAACAACCCCAAGAAGGATCAGGCTTGGAGGTGAAAACAGAGAATTCCATCTGGTTTGAGATGCCTATGAGGCAGTCAAATGGAGATAAATTGCAGCATGCAGTTGACTATGTGGGTCTGGAACTTAAAGGAGAAACCTAGTCTAGAGAAATAAATTAGGAGGGATAAAGTACATTGGAAAGAATAACTTCACTAGTTTTACGTAAGCACAATCTTACTACTGTTGCAATCAATTCTTTAGGATGCTTGCTTAAAAGGAAAACACAGAATGGAAGATTCTGGAGACAGAATAATGTGTATATCTTTCCTTTTCCTTCTGTTAACAATTGCACATTTATCCCTTGAGGAAAAAAACCAACAGGGGTCCATTAAGGCTTTGATCTCTGTCAGCTTTTCTTCCTCATGGAGCAGGTGAGGGACTGAACACCACCTTCAGGAACCTCCAAGGTAAGAATGTGGCAGATCTCGGGAAATGTTTTTTGAGAAATTCTTTGGTGAAAGCCAACATCAACCCTTCATGAAGAGTGCCTGGCCTAGCAATGATGAGATTGAGAAAAAGTTAATAAGAATGAGCCAGCCTGAGGTCCTGAGAGGCCCAGGAAGGAGGGGTAAGAGAGACATTTTCAGGTACCAGCAAGAGAATGGCTATTTCTGGCTTCTGTATCTCACCCTATAAGGCTGGTTTACATCTTGTAGCATATACAGAACAACTACCATGAGGATATATTGTAACCAGGTAGCAGCCCTCATGAGCTGTCAAAATAGAGTACCACTCAACATAAATGAACTAGCATACATAGAGTCATGAAGTAGGAAAACATGCCTAGCTAAATAAGTCAGAAAGAGAGGTTAGCTGTACAAAAATACAAAGAGATCTTACGGCCATTCAAGGGACACACAAAATGTTCTTTGGAGCTGAAAAACGTCATTTTCCAATTAAAGGAAACAGTAGAGAGGTTGAAAGGAAAATGAAGGCTACAAGATGAAGAGAAATTGGAAAAGACAGATATGACATAATATTTAAATAAATAGTAGAAATATTTTAGATTGGAAAAGGCCTACCAAGCTCCAGGATGGGCTGTCCCAGACATGCAGCAAACAGACACACTCCTGTGTCATATTTTCTGTGGAGTCTATTGGCTTCTTGCATGTTTTCTTCTTTGACTTGACTCAGAAATATTATTAATTGTATATTTTCTTCTTTGCCAGCTTAAATCTTAGCCTAATCTTAAATATTCCCAGGCTTCCTATAAGAGGTCTATCTTGTTGCATAAAACACTGAAAAAAACTGGTTTCAACCCTTAACCAAATTCCTTATACCTGCTGTAACTTCCCTAGCCTGACAACTTCACTAGGAACAGACTTACATAGCTTAGGTAGGATGTTTCTTTCTAGTAGATTCAGTGTTTCTGTTTTTATGTTCACATCTTTGATCTGTTTTTATTTTGTCTTAGTACAGAGTGAGAGAAATAGCTCTAGGTTTATTCTTCTACAAACAGATAATCAGTTTTGCCAGCTCAATTTGTTAAAGAGGATGTTTTTTCTCTGGTATATGTCATTGGTCTCTTTGTCAGAAGTCAGATGGCTAAAGATTCCTAGATCTGTTTCTGCATCTTCTATTCCATATGTTTTTATTACTGTAAGTTTATAGCATGACTTTCAGTCTGATTTGTGTTGCTTCCTGCTTTGCTCCTATTGCTGAGGATTGCTTTGACTATTCTGTGTGTCTTAAGGTTCCATATAAATTTTAGAATTGTTTTTGTAGTTCTGTGAAAAATGCTCTTGGCATTTTGATTGGAATTGAATTAACATGTGATTTATGATGACATAGCCATTTTGACCATAGTAGTTCTGCCTATTGAGAAAAGGGGATACCTGTTTGCAGGACATAGTGATTATTTTCTTCTTGGGGAGTTGGTACATACACATAATATCTTAATTCTTTTTTCATCTCTTTCACTTCTCCTCTCTCCCCATCTCTCCCTCCACTCTTGGTCCCATTCCCATTTGCAATATATATGACACAAGCACTTGCCTGGCAAGCACATATCCTGAGTTGGATTCCTGATACCCCACCTCAACAAAAGAGAAATTATGTGATATTTAAGCTTACATATAATTTATTTCACTTAACATTATGGTCTTAAAGTGCATCTGTTTTCTACAAGTAATGGAAATGTATCATTCTATATAGCAGAGTAATACTCTATGTATGTAAATGCCACATTTCCTCTATCCTTTCATCTGTTCCTAGACATGCAGGTCAATTCCCAGATTTAATAATATGAATTATACTGCTACAAATGTGGGTATGTATGCATGTATCATTGTAATGTGATGTCTTTAACTCCTTTTGGGAAGATACCTAGAAGATGAATACCTGGGTCAAATGGGATTTTGGTCTAGATTCTTGAGGAATCTTGATATTGATTTCCTTAGTGATTCTACCAGCTTACATTTCTACATTTCTACCTATAATGTGGATGAGCTTCTTTTCCCCTCAGCCTCACCAGTGTTAGTTATTATTTGATTTTGATGATGGTCATTCTTTCTGCAGTGAGGTAAACTCTCATTACTGCTTTTATTTCTGTTTCTCTAATGGCCAGAATGCTGAATATTTTTTCATGTATTTATTAACCATTTGTATGTCTTCTTCTGTGAAGTATCCATTGACTTCAGTTGCTCTTTTTTGACTAGGTCTTTTATGCAAGGATTTATTTTTTTAGTTCTTTATATAATTTAGATACTAATCATTATTTTGTACTGTAGCACATTAGCTAACACACTTGTAAACACTCAGTAGGCACAGAAGAAATCAGGGAAGAGATTAAACATTTCGTAGAATCAAATGATGTCAGTGTAATATACCAGAATCAACATACCAGACACAACAAAGCAGTCCTAAGAGGGAAGTTGATTACTATAAATTCTCACATTAGAAGAACAGAATAAGGTCAAATAAATAAAGTAATAATGCTCCATAAGGTTCCAGAAAAACAAGAGCAGTCGCAATCGAAATGCAGTTTAAGAAAGTAATTCATGAAGATCAGAATAGAAAATAACTTTTAAAAGATACTTAAAAATACAAAGAATAAATAAATTAAAGAGTGAGCTCATTGTCTAAAAGAACAAAATAGATAAACTTTTAGCTGAATTTACCAAAAGAAGAGAAAAAACTCTCACTTCAATTCAGTTAGAAAGAAAACAGTAAAGTTACCATGGACAGTGCTGAATGCTTTCCCCCTGAGATCAGGTTGTCCACTGTCGCCTGTCCTGTTCAATAGAATACTTCAAACATTAATCAGAGCAATTAGGCAGGAGAGAGAAGTAAAACAGATACATATATGAAAGGAAGAAATCAAATTATTATTTTTTCAGATGACACGATCCTTTATACAGAAGTCCCAAATAGCTATTTTTACAGAAGCTTGTTTGGAAAAGGCAGTCATATGCCATGGTTTTCTCTAATAAGAGTGGCTGTAAGTCCTCTGAGTGAAGTTTTGGGGGGGACTAATGGTTGTAGAGTCGCACTCTACAAACTTATATCTTCACCCTCCCCCTTACATGTACTTAAGGTCTGGAATATGGATCAATGCCTGAGATAGAATTACATAAGGCAACAATTTAGCTGTTTAGCCAATATGTAAGTGGGTTCTTATATGGGATAGTTTATGGCTAATTCTTCTACAGATTTTTTCTACTTTGAACTTGGAGATTGATTTTGCCTACAAATGAAGACTAGATATAAAGTGAGGTGGAGTGTAGGCTAATAATTGGTGACTTGATTTCAACCTGAAGTCATAGTCACACATCATATTTTTTCAATTTTAAGAAATGTAAATACTTTAATAATAAAACAAATAAATGTGTGGGACAGAATACAAGACATACACATGTTTTCCCGGATAAACTATGAGACTTTAAAAATTGTAGAACTGAGGGGGACACTGAAGATTCAGGCTGCATAGCCCTGTCTGCTAATAGAGGAAGATACCAGTTTCAGCACAGATTTACAGGGAAAGGAAAATTCCTGGCTTCTCCTATGCATGCTTTGTTTCTGTATATTTGTTTGCTTAGAATTTTTATTTTTTATATACAGGCCTCTGAGTCAACACCCAACTGTCAGTGATGACTTGCCAAACCACATCATTTCTGGAAAAGTTCAAGTGAAGTGCAATGTGAGGGAGTTCACAGAAACAGATGCTGTTTTTGATGATGGTACTGTGGAGGAGAATATCGATGTTGTTATCTTTGCTACGGGATACAGCTTTTCATTTCCTTTCCTCGACGGTCTGATTGAAGTCACTAACAATGAAGTGTCCCTGTACAAGCTGATGTTTCCTCCCACCTTGACGAAGCCAACGCTAGCTGTCATCGGGCTTATCCAGCCTCTGGGTATCATCCTGCCCATTGCAGAGCTCCAGTCTCGCTGGGCAGTGCGAGTTTTCAAGGGTGTGTAGAGTCAACCTGCAAAAAGGCCAAACAGTTCACCTGCAGTTGTTTCCTCTGACACTTGTTTCTTCCTTTTATCGAAATATACCCCTCTCTTTCCAAGGAATTCTGTCAGACTCTGGATTTTCTCTTCTAGGTCTGAGCACATTACCTTCAGTGAAGAATATGATGTCCGATATCACCCAGAGGAAAGGAGCTATGGAAAAACGGTACACAAAAAATTAGTAATAGCTTGGTTGAGGATCTCTATGGGGAAAGGTCATGGGATTGCTAATTTGTGATTCCAAATTGAAACTCCACCTTATGAATCATATTTTTCCATTTCTTACACTATATTCATAATATAGTGAATTTTTTCACATAGAAAAAAAAAACAAGTGTGGGGCCCAGGAGATGGCTCAGTAGAATAAACACTTGCCTGGCAAGCTCAAGGGCCTGAGTTCAATCCCCGGTTCCGCAAAAAAAAAAAAAAAAAAAAAAAGTGAAAAACATTCTCCTAACTCAGTTCTCCAACAAATAATCATATTTATTCTCTATTCCTTACATTCCTCCTATTAAATCTAAAGTTGTGCCATCCACCTCTACCTCAGTCATGCTTCCCCTAGAATTTTCCTTGAATCTAGGAAGCTTACAGCAATCAACTGCCCTCTTAGGACTGCTTTGTTGTGTCTCATATGTTGATTCTGGTATATTACACTGACATCATTTGATTCTACGAAATGTTTAATCTCTTCCCTGATTTCTTCTGTGCCTACTGAGTGTTCACAAGTGTGTTAGCTAATGTGCTACAGCATAAAATAAAGATTATTAGCCTCTACTCCACCTCACATTATATCTAGTCTTCATTTGTAGGCAAAAATCGATCTCCAAGTGTGGAAGTAGCCTCTGATTTGTCACATCATTTTCCTTACTGATGTTCTCAGGCCTAGATCCAAGCACACTTATAGTACAGAGAAGCTATGTTGCTCCATCCTTAGTCTATTCTGTGTAGGGTGCAGGAACCATTGCCTAGGACAGGACCCTGGCTGAGATGGGCTTGAGGTTAAAGAAATCAACTAGCTGCCCTCCGACATCTTGCCATGAGGTCTCAGGCTCTTCACCAGATTTTCACCATTTCATACATTATGTGAATTTTCCCCCTCCTGTCTTGTTACCTTGAATGCCATGTGTCTAAGTCTCATCCATGAGACTATAAATTAGGGAAACAAAAGCTAACAAGGGAGGTGACCAGCAAATAAGGCATTTCTTTGGTTATGTTTCAAAAGCTGACTCTGAAACCGGGGAACACACATGACTGGTCCACTTAACAGATTCAAGAGTAAAGGAATATGCATAGAAAATTCATTCATTGAGTAACATTAAATTTCCTTGTCACACCATTTCACAATTGTAAAGACTTGAATATGCACGTGTCTGTATGAATGAATAAAATGTATTTCCTCATTCTATCAAAACATTCCTCTTGTCCCAGGAAATTACACTGGCACCCCCTGCATTTTCTCTTTTAGGTCTGAGCAGGTTACATGCTGACCCTCCAACTCACAGCGATCCTCCTCCCTCAACCTCCTGACTGCTGTAATTACAAGTGTGCATCACACACCTGGCTGGCTGAGCATTTTTAACCTGATTCTGTACAATGGAGAGCATGTACAGGACAATGGCGGCACTGCTGCTTTTTCTTGTGTAACAGAAAACAGCCTTATATTTTCAGACTTGGCTGCAAACTCTGCACCACATGGAACAAATGCTCAGTTCATATAATAGTGGTGCCAGCTCCTAAAAATACATGAGGGCCTGCGAGATAGCTTCGTGGACTAAGCGCTTGCTTTGGCAACCGCAGGGACCAGGGCACGATCCCCTGTTTCGCATGGCATGCCAGCCCCGCCCCCGAGGCACGCTGAGCCAACCAAGGAGCCCACACGTGGCGGCGCACGTCTGTAATCCCAGTGCTGCGGACGCTGAAAACAGAAGGATCACTACGAGTTCGAGCTGCATTAGTGAGACCCTGTACAAAATACATAAATGACAAAAAAAAAAAAAATCTTCCAAAAACATGCGTTGTCCTTGCCTCACGTTGTATAGCCAATGACACAGGCCATGTTGCCTACACCCTTACTGTACTACAGCTACCATGTTCCTGGGGCTACATTAGCCTTGATATTCCCTCCCCTGGTTGATTTCAAACATGTAGGAAGTCTAAAGGTTAAATTTTCCATTCTGTCTACACAATACATTAGGAAGCATTTAGCTGGATCAATCCTTCCTTGTGAAAAGGAGAATCTGACAGAGTAGGGATCGCTGTAAAGCCCATGCTGTGGCGCAGTGGTTCTCGAGCTCTCTGGAATGAAGGGACTGTAATCATGGACATTTGCTTTTCTTTCTGTACTAACATTGGTGTGGACCGCTCTGAGTCGTGTTGGGTTTATCAACACACCGTCCTAGTTCTCAGTTTCTTCACCTCTAAAGCCAGTGGCAGCTAACTTCCTCCTACCTCAGGGATGATATAAGCCTCTGTCTTCCGTGTTCTGCTGTGAGTTTTCCAACTCCCCTCCTGTGTTTCAGGTACGTGAAGACAGCCCGCCACACAATTCAAGTGGATCACATTGAGTACATGGATGAGATCGCCGCCTTGGTGGGAGTGAAGCCCAACTTGCTGTTCCTCTTTTTCTCAGATCCAAAGCTGGCCATTGAGGTTTTCTTTGGCCCCTGTACCCCATACCAGTACCGCCTGCAGGGCCCAGGCAAGTGGGATGGGGCCAGGAAAGCCATCATGACCCAGAGAGAGAGGATTATCAAGCCCCTGAGAACTCGGGTTGCAAGTGAGGATAGTTGTTCATCTTCATGGCTGCCTTGGATGAAGGTCACACCATTTGTCCTGGCATTTCTGGCTGCTGGCCTACCATACTTTAGATACATTCATCATGTAGAGGGAAAGGAATAAACGAATACTGAGAGGGGGAAGAGAATACATTTCCACTCATCCTCAATTATTACATTGCCATGATTTACTCAGCAATATATGTCTACATTATATAACGTAATTATAACTATTGTAGAAAATGCTTATGTGTATGTTACCAGTAGATCTATTTCTTTAAACACAGGTATGCATCAAGTTCTATGTAATTTAACTTGTGAATTCAAATGAAAGTTCATGATTAAGAGCAACCATATGTAAGGCATAAAAATATTTTTGCCACAAAAGGTGCATCCATTTTGGTTTCCTAAATCAAGATTATCCTTACCAGAATTTCTAAATAAAATTTTACTTTCCAGTGACTATATTTTCCATCCTATCTTTTATTTCTTCAAAGTAATTCTATCAAATTCTCACCCATGGATGAAAGTTTCCATTTACAACAAAAAAGCAAAAAGGTACAGGGCAAAATATATTATATTTTAATGTATTAGAAATACGAAGTATTTCTGCTAAATTATTCTTAAACAGTTGGTTTGAAGAAACAAAGGGAAAGCTGCTGTACAGGAAGCTGACTAAGGCTGTAATATGAAGACTAAGGCTATAATATTTAAGTAACAATCCCAACAGCATGCTAGCTTGCTGACCATCAGAACAGCCTTCTTGCTGCTAGAATAAGTGATTTCTCCATGGCTGCAATGTGGAAATTAGAAGGAGGGTTCTCTCCCCCCAGATGCCTCTCTCCCCCAACCATATGGGAAATCCTGCAGAACTCAGCCTCTGCTGTATTGTTTATGAGCTTTTTTCATGCTGCATGGTTAAAATACACATCACTATGAAGAGAGAATGTGAAAACTGAGGAGGGGGAAGAATGTGACTTCAGCATCCTGTGCCACTGTGCGAGTAAGCAGAAACATCAGTAAAAACATCCTAGGGGCTGAGGAGATACTCAGTTGAATAAGTGCTTGCCTGGCAGGTGCAAAGACATGATTTTAAGTGCCAGTTCTGAAAAAAAAATCCTAAAAGCATCCATAAAGAAATTTAAATATTGATTAAAAATCTCTTGAAAATATTCTGAACTTGAGGATTGGACAGTGAGGAGTGGGCAAGGAGAAAAGCTGAGAAACATGACAGGGGCAAAGCCATGCATTTGTACACATGAAATGGGTGAGGGAGTGATCCTGGGGTACATCAGCAGGTGTTTGAGACTAACAGTTGGCTGGTGAGATTCTCACCCTGACTAACTCTATATGCTGGTGCCTGTGAGCCAGGCGGCTGCACTGAGGATGGCGATGTATAATAGAGGGGTCACGCTTGGAGTGCCTGTCATCCTGGTCTTCTAAATATGTACTTCTTGTCATGACATACCATTTAAGGATTTTTTTTTTGCTCCAAATGCCTTCAGGGCAGGTTCGGCTGGCTTGAGTTGTGGGGATCAAACCACAGCAACCTGAGCCTGACTGCTTTGTTGAAGCAGCCACTTAAAAAAACTGAGCTACGGGGCAGGCCCCCATGACATACCATTTATTGCCATAATTTCTCTCAAGTAAAATTTTTTTAAAGGGTAATAAATGAAAAAAAAGTCACAAGAATAAGAAAAAAATGTCACAGGTCTGTGCTGTTACAATTCTGTATATGGTTAGATTTCTAAATTTCTTTGTAAAATTATGTAAATGCTTATTTCTACCTTTATAAAATTATTTTTCCTACATATTATGTAAGGTCTTAACGTTCAACATACCAATATTTGATGGAAAATACCTGTTCCATGATATGCCAAAGATGTTTGATATTTAGACAGGGTAAACCAAACTGCACATATTGCAAGTTAATAATAAGTTTCTCTTCTGGAGGATTAACAACCTAAGTTAGCAGTTCAAAATTGGAGAAAGGGAAGGGCTGCAAGGTCTGCCAACATTTTGGCCCTAGGCTTTCAAGGTCAGTGAAGACTGAGGACATAGGGGAACCTGTACTGTAACAACATGTAACTCAGTTGTGCTCCAAATTTTCTGATCAAGAAGATCATGGAGCCACAGAGGAATGTGATCGATGATATATAGTGTGCCTGGGGAGAGTCACATGGAGAGAAAAAACATTCTCTCAGGCTTTCACAGAGACCAAATTGGTTAAACAATGGCCGTGACTCATCCTCATGGCTGACACTGGCAAAGGATCTACAAAGTATGGTACAGGGCTGCAGGATAAATCCTGAGGGTATTTGACTGACCTTATCAGATACAAAAGTTACATTTCTTTCTATATGAGTCTTACTTTATCTTGGTCTTATCCATCCAGCAGAAAAGTATAAAAACAAGGTATATAATGTAAAGCCATATTAATATGATAAGCTGTAAAAGGCTCAAGTCAATAACTTCTGAGGATAACCACTAATATTATAGACTGCTAGACAGTGTTGGATTGTTTAGCTGAATTCAAACACCTTAGTATTTAGATGCCAATAGAATATTCACCTCTGACAGGACTAAACAAAAAAAAGGGGATACAAAGGAAAGATCATTTTGTATTTATATATACAAAATAGGATAGATTTACAGCTACTTTCGCTTAATTCAATGAGAAGAAAGAGGTGTACTAATA